GCATCCCCAGGACACAGAACACCCCTCCCTGCTCCCACAGGTCCTGCTGTTCCGTGGCACACAGCTGGTGTGTGACTGCCACATCAGACTTCTAACACCTTCAACAAATTGCTCGTGAGTCCTGTGAATGAGGGAGATTTTACTGAATGACTATGACAGAGTTCCCAATAATTTATATCCTTGAGAAAACCATTCAAGGATAAGAGAAAGATGCTAAGTTGAGCCAGTAAATTACTTATTTCTTGTAACAGCTGGCTACATGTGGCAAAGAGAGACTACATTCAAGCCTTAGAGAGGCAGTTTAGTCCATCAACATGGCCTCCACTAGGAAACACAATCAATTCTAGAAACTTCATGTAGAATAAATCAATTATTTAATTCAAGCTGGTGAATATTTAACAGTGAAAAATACCAGACATCTGCAGGTGCACTGTGAACCATTAAAAAGTTACGGAGCACCAGAATGTCTTAAAAAAAAAACCCATTCTGCTCTTCCTGGTATCCTTCATCCCACAGTGGGTGAAACACGTGCGCTCCCAGCTGCAGGGGCTGTGCCTTCAGGTGCCCCCTGGTGCAGGGCAATGAGCACGTGCTGTTTGCTAGAGCAAGGGCTGCTAAATATTTGGTTATCTCAAATGAGCATCTCAGAGCAGCTAGGTCTGCCACTGCGCTATGGGCTCACCTGCTGTGAAAATAGGGTTAGCAGCTTTGCAGGAATGGCTACGTTGAATAAAACAGGTACGAACACTGTTGCCAGGCATACTGTTGTCATACCAGCCCAGAGCTCCTGTAGCTCAGGACTGCACCTTTTGGCTTATACTGGCGAACGAGGAAAGTGGACTGCCTGGTTGGTAGGGAGAGCTATGTGCACCTTTCAGAAGGTGCTCACATTAATGGAAGTGCTTCTGCCAGTGTTGCCCACTTCAGTGATCACTCAACCTCTTCCATCACCGAGCTGCTCTTCATAGGGGCTTCTAGCTTTTCCTGGAGAAGAGAAGCCCAGTGTAACCCTACTGCAAGTGCACGAACCAGTGAATCTTCTCAGGGACCCTTAAGATGTTCCAAACACATTTAACTCAAAGATTACACTTCAGGCATTCATACATGCGCAGTAAATTGGCTTTGGACATACTGCGATCAGCAGAGCTGGCACAATAACGTGCAATGGCACCACAGGACTAATTGAGTGAAAATCCTAGTGAGTCATTTCAATCTGTCCTTTCTCATTAGTTCTTGTTTGCTCAAATGTTGAATAAAGTCTATGGAGAAAAATAAGCCCACTCAAGGTTTTATGCTTCTACTTTTCAGTTAAGCAAGAGAGCATTCTGTTTCTTCAAGACCTCCACCACAATCAACTTAATCAACACAGTCAACAAGACTTCAGTTTCAGCTTTTCTAAGAAATAATGAAATCAGCAGGAATGAAGAGAAAGAAAAAAATATATGGAAGTTTTTTACTAGAAAGCAGTGGATTGTTTTTGTTGATGCCTGAGAATAACCATAGTACTGTTCTATTTTTTCTTCCAGTAAAGCACAGTGTAATCTCGCCTTGCACGCAAGAACAAACACTGCTGTGTGTTTCACATCCTGTTGGACAACTGAATGACTGCAGTACAGCAGCAACCTTTAAAACACATTGGATCCCTTCTGGGACCTCTACACGGCAGGGTGCACAATACCCGTCTTTACTTCAAAGGTAACACAGCTCACTGTGCTGCTTGCTGCCTTGTATTTATAGAGTAATTTATGGTGGCGTTCACGCTGACTTCTTTAAATTATGACATGAGCTGCGGGATAACAGTTAATCAGATGTAGAGTCTGGCAATACCTTTTTCACAGTGTCAGCAAACACTGCTGAAAAACAGCTTTATTGACAGAGTGCTGGAGAGACTCATAAGGAAAAATACACGTGTGGAAGGCTATCTTCCCATTATATTCTCATTCTGACAGAGAGCGAATGTTCCTTAGGATGGATGCAGTTATAACAGATACAGATGATCATAAAAGAACAATTCAGACTAATAAAATAATTATACCAGTTTAATATATCTTAGCTGATGCAATTGCATCCGCAACTGTACAGCTCTGTAACCAATCATGCTCTTTACAGGCACATGAGCTGAGAGCAGTACAGCACTGTTATCAATAAGTTCTTGCTAAGCAAGATATGGTTAGGAATTTAAGCACTTCCTGAATTTAACCAACTCCTCTAATAAACTGATTTTACAGAAGAGAGGACATGGAAATCAGTGCAGTTAGTGATTGCATTGTTGGCTATCTGCCCAGAGAAAAACTGAATCAACCAGAACAATGACTTACATTCACGTAAGGTCAGAGCACTTTTTGGTGCCCTTTTGAAACACCTCCAGAAGGGCACTGCCCTCTGGTTCAGGGTCTAAACCCCACTAGCACGTGTTCCCAAGGGGCCCTGCAGGGCCAGCATGACCCTGCCCTGAGTTCTGCTGGTATTTCAGAAAACATCAGCATCCTCCTCCACACTTTGCTGTTACACAGCTTCTGCCCTCTTGTATTTTTTCCTTTTGCCTTGATTTTTAAATGAGCTATATCTGCCTTTGGGTCTTCCAGGCGCCCAATAGCACAGGGACTAATAGAAAGGTGCTTTCTTTTCAAAACTGTTTGCTGAACCTCCTGCCTGTGATTTGGGGAGAGCAGAGCTATGCAGGCACTAAGTGGTGCTATTCACATCGCTCCCTTCCATCCAGCAACCGGACAGGTAACACACCTTTCAAAACTGTGCATTAAGCCTGTCCTTCTTCACCTAATGATGAGGTGAATGCTTTTCAACAGAGAGTTGTACAGTTGGTTCCCATTTGCTCAGCTGTGGCTCTCTTATTTTTATGCTGCTTATTTTCCTTCTTTGGGTTGAATTGAAAATGAGCTGTTGTGAAATGGCTGCTGTCAGAAGGAGCCACCCTGGCCTCCTCCCAGTCACAGACACCACACAAGCTCATCAGCATCCTTATGCCAGGACTTACACTCATCCCACCTCCATCCTTCACCTAATTAAGCAGGCAGAATACTCTGTTTCTCAGGTGCTGGGTTAGTTTGCTGCTGACTTAGAGGCCTAGTTCCCTGAGGTCAAGCAAGCACTGGAAGTGGCAGGAATGTGCTGCTCGGAGCAGGGAAGGGAGGATAGAGGCAGGTCATCCTTGCAGTTAGAGCTGCAAGCTAATGCCAAATAGTGGTGATCTCACTCCATTACTGCTTCCAGCTGTGTTCTCCATCCTTCTCCCTGAATCCAGTGATGGAGTGACTTCTGGGTGAGTTGATTCAGCTGGCCCATCTGGCTGAAAACTATTCATTTTTATGGCATGGTTAGTTTTCTGCTGCTCTGATGAGCAGATTTTGCCCTGTGGCCACACAGCCACTAGATGCAATTTAAGGAAAACAGTGTAAATGGGAAACAAGGACAGCAACTAGCTTGTAGACAAACTCAGCCGTAATACCAGACTGCACCTAAGAAGCAGCTAGATCAATCCAGCTCCCCTGCTGTCACTGAAATAACCAGATCGCTAGGCAGCTTGCTTTCCTACCTGTGTTCTTCTGCTCTAACAGACATATTCTCAGTGCAGAAAGAGTATTTTTATCTCCCTTAATCTGTGCTCAGAGAATTGCATTAGAGCAGGCAATTTCAATTTCTTCTGATACGTGGACTGCTAGTGGACAGGCAGATCCTGCACAGCAGAACTGAATCTATTCTCTTCCATCCCTTTATGGTTTTTGTGTTCACAGTGGCAACAAACATAGGCTGAAGTCTAGTGCACAGCTCAGAATCCCTGAGAATCACGAAAGTCCCATCAAAATGGTGATAGTTATCAGGTATCATTTTCTTATTTTTTTGTTTTTCATCCAGGATAATAAGTAAGGGCAGATTATGGGGAGCAAAGTGCCTAAACAAAGATGGAAACAACCTGCTCACTCCTGTTTCTTATTGGGCATCAATGGACAAATTACTGAGACAGGACTTTCATTTTCTCTCAATTGTGTATGAGTAGGATATCCTCAAAGGAGATAAGCAGTAATATAATTTCATAACATGAGAGCATTTGTTACAAAGTGGAGTAACAAGTCTAGGTTTGTTTCCAGGCTGCACTTGAAACTGTGCCTTTCCATGGCCTGCAGAAGTCCCTCTTTGAGAGTCTGTGACTCCTCTCCCCATCAATCACTCCAGAAGGCTGTTTTGGTGCAGTGGGGTTATAATGGCAGTGCTGGATCTCAGGGAAATAGAGCCTCTCTCCCTCCTTTTTTTTCCATCTCCACCATACTGTGTTGTTATTGTTGTTGTTGTTTTTAAGTGGCTTTATTCCCAGGTCTGGCACGTAGTCCAGTCACATAAAAAACTGAATCAGTACAACTGCCAGGGCAAAGGGCTGCAAAGTGATAAGTGTGAACGAGTTAAATGACAGACAGGATTTCCTTAACCTGCCAAATCCTCATTTTTCATCACATCTTGAGTTCAGGACTGGCACATCTGGCACATCTGGCACCTGAGCTAGCACCTTTGGCTTAAAGTGCCTGAAGTTTATTTACATACCTTCTTACCCCTATGTTGCTGATACTTGAGAGCTGCCAAACAGCTCGTGTATTTCTCCTCTTGAATACAGAGAGATATGAATCCTCTTCCTTTTGTATGCTTTCCTGCGAGATAATGAAATCTTTGGGTATGGAAGGAAAGGACATAATAACAAATAATTGGATGTGGTCATGGAGTCATCAGCTGGGGACCTCACGTATCTCATACAAAACAGGGTCTGGTGTGGCTGGCATAACAGGCAGTTTTGGGAGGGAAACACAAAGCAAGAGGTAGAAAACAAGTTTATAAAGGAAAATCTTAACCGAGTTGATTACATCCCACTGGCTGGATTTCTGAACCCAGGAGAGAAGAGTCTGAATGCATCGTTCAGTGGTGCTGTGCCCCTGCACAGCAGTCCTAGAACAGAAGAGGTTAATGCTCAAAATGCCAGCACTAGGCCCCCGAGATAATATGCTGTCATAATGAAAGGAGCAATTCTCTTACTTCTATCTCCAGAAACTTCCTGACACTTGAAGAGCCTTACTAGTACAAGTATGTGAGTTAAGAGCTGCATCCTTTGCTGACACAGTCACACCGATAAGAGCCTTCATTTAGATGCAGCTCTACAGACACAGGCAGGAAGACCAGATCTTTAACCTCACGGAGACACTCACAGCAACAAAGTCTTTCTAGTAGAGACAAGCTCTTAGGCTCAAAAGGATGTGAATGTGAATCTCCTGTGTGTTGCTTTTGTTACAGGACTCCATGGAGTGCTTATCATTGTAATCGTTGTGTAGTCTTTATATAACAGCAAAACACAGAGAACAAAACACACTCACATATATATAAGACGTAATGAAATACTGTTATATTTTCCAGTTGAAGGGCAGGCTCTGAAATTCCCAGCAGATACTGAAATGTCTTTCTAGATCAAACCTGGATGAGAAAATCCTTTGCCAGATGGATTGCTAAGCATCAGCAGCAATGTGTCCAGCACCTCCCAGCACCCTGCTACCAAGGACAGGCAGCCAGTTCTTTCTCTATTCAAAAAGAGGGCAGTAGCAATCTTAGCTGGTTGAACCTGCGGTGTGAAATGTCCAATCCAGGTCCTCAGGCATTCATTATGACCCCTCATATCATTTTTCGTGTGAAATGTAATTATCTCACTGTTGATCACCTAAACAGAATAATCACAGAGTCACAGAATATCCCGAGTTGCAAGGAAACCATGAGAGCCATCATTCCAGCCCCAGTCCCCAGACTGCTCTGATCATGAAAGTGAGGTTCTGGCCCTGATTAGGACTCCCAAGTTTCACAAAACCAAATAAGTGTTGAACATGACTGGTTTGACAAAAATAATACTCTATATGTAAAGGCAAATAACTTAATGCACTACAAAAAATCCAATCATTTTGATCTTCTTAACAGTAACTTTATAGATGGGAGAAAAACATCCATCAGGGTGACTGGAATGTCCTAAAGGTCCAAAAGGAAAATCTCTCTAGCTGCAAGAAAACAGGTCAGTTTTAGCAACGCATTAATTGCAAAATTATCCAAGTTTTTAATTTTTATTTTAAATATATAATACTTTTTCTTTTTGAAGGAGCTTTTTTTTCCTTGGAATTTGTAAAATGCACTATTAGAACACCTGCTTTCAGAGAACACTTATTTTTCCCAGTGGCCCTCTGCAAGATCTTACCTTCTATCATGTTGGCAAGAGTTAGTTCAGCAATTGCCTTTGACACTGTGAAGCTCCAAGTCTCTGCAAAGAAGTAGTGAAAGGATTACATGAACTAGTCACTGTGGAAAACCATAGCCATAGGACCAGGATAGCAGGAGCCTGTGGCTACTGCATGAGACAGGCAGCTTCATCCTGTCACCAGTGTGGGACTGCACAGCATTTTTCCTTTCAACAGATGAGCTCACTGCCAGTGACTTACTGATTTCAATTCTGGAGATGCGGGAGCCACTTACCTATTGCACAGCCTCAGGAAAAGGTAGACAAGAGCTTTACAGAAGGTCTCAGGCATCCCTATTTCGACTGGAGACTGCTCAGTTTCTAACAAAATGAATTGTCAGCTATCAATGGATACAGGAAAGCCTTAACCTGTGGAGTGTTACAGGATAAATGAAGGCTGTGGTTGGGGAGTTACTGAATGCTTGAGGATTTCCAGTATCTTGATTTCTAGATGCCATTAAAAATCCACAACCTCAAATTTCACAGCAACTCAGCTCCCCCTGTGAGACAATTATGCATCCATGACTGGACACAAGGATGTGCCACTTCTTAACCTGACAGCATATTGCTACATGCTGCAGCATGTAAATTCAGCTCTGCTGACATGTCAGCCTCCTTCAGTGTAAGTTTATTCAAGCAACCGTGCAGTATATGTTTGCATGGGTATTTTCACATACAAGAAGCAAATTCTCTCTGCTCCTTATTCTGCTAATTTTGCACTCACAGCTGTTTCTTGAAGGAATTCATCTTCTGAACTGTGAGGTTGGGTGCTGAGCCCCACTGGGTTCAGTGCTGTGCTTCGTGCTTTCAGTTCAGACCTAGAGGTCTCTAGGAACTTATCTCTGTTTTGATTCTTGCATGAGCTTGCAAAATGAACTATTGATTAAAAATATGCAATCTTTTACCATCTCTGTACTTGTACAGTGAGCTGAAAAAGGACCAGAGATCCACGGGGATCATTTTGGTTGAGCAGTTTCCACAGCAAAGTAATCAAGCGATGGCAGTGCCTCGCTGCACTGCCTGCTGCTTGTGCCTCTGGGATCATGAAGTAGAAGCAAACCCTAAATGACAAGACCCTGCTCCCAGCAACCTCTGCTGGGCTCATTAATCCACGGGGTCATGATGTGGCACTGCTGCCGGAAAACAGCTGGGGTGGGTCTGTTTTTCTCCAGCCTGCACGTAAGTGAGACCAGAGCTGCCAGACACTGCTCACACCTGCAAACAGTGGGAAGTGAGCGAAAGCAGGGGAGCCTCCCCAAGGATTTTCAACAGAGCCAGGAAGCTGACACTGAGGCGGCTCCTTGGCTTGCTCACAAGCTTTCTGTGTGTCTTCAGGCCACTTGCTCTCATTTCTGGGTACCTCCGCAATGTCCCTGTATGAGTGCTGGGTGCCAGGGCTCAGTGAGCTCAGGCAGGACTCAGACACAGGCAGGCCTGTGCCATGGTGGGCTCGATTCCAGCCCAGAGGCTTTGTCTGATGCAAAATCACTCCTCACATTGCCTAACTGTCTTGTCACCTTTGGTAACAGCCGTGTTGGAAGCCGACCATTTCCTCTCAGACAAGTGAGCTCACTGCCACTTCAGACCTGTGTCAAAGGACTTTGCGTGTCACTTACAAACAGGCCATTCTCCATCCCCACTACAAAGGCCCTATCTGCACTACAAAACAAACACAACTGACCCAGATACAACAGAGCAGCCTTTTTGCATTGGTTTGTCCCACCAAGGAAGGGACCTGGAGCTGAGGAGGTTTGGAACTTTGCTTTCCATCAGCCTGAAGGCGACACTTTGCTGTCTGTGCTAATGCACACCCAGCTGCCACACTGACCAAGCCACTTGGCAATGCTCCACTTCTCATATTGCTTCAGCACATGTCTTGAACATCATTTATCAGAACATCATTTACAAGTTGTCTCCAGGAGTGAAGCTTACTCCAGGAGACAACTTTTTTTTCCTATTCTCCAGGAGTAGGAAAATATATCTTGGTAGAGTCCTTATTCAGAGGCCCAGCCAAGACCCCATTTCCAGTACTGCCACAGTGTATTTTGCTAACACAATTCCACATTTATTACTTGCTGTCTGCTCACTCTGGATAAACAGAATTTATTTTCTGACTCTAGGGGAACCCTGAATGTGGTTTTGAACATGTGGTCACACCCAGCTAAGGACAAAGATGTGCTTCATATGCCAGGTAATATACTGCTGGACTCACTCCATGCAGTCCAGACGAGCTCAGTTTACAACTGTATGTGAGTAACATCCAGCAAAGCTGCCCAAAGCAAAGCTTTGCGGGTCTGCTGTCATTGTGTTGGAATTGCTAATGGCATGCAGTCAAGTGCTAAGAAAAAGCATGCTACATTGCAAGCCCAGATAAAATAACTTTTTTGATAACAAACTGTGTAAAATTGCCCAGATTGGCTCACCTCAAGCTCCTCCTTGCTTCTAGGGAGTTTATCCCACATTCCTTGAGCTATATATTGAGATGATTGCTACAATATTTTATGTTGGCTGTGTGGCACATGAAATAGGGCAGAGTGATAATACAGCAGAGAGGGTGTAGAGCAGCAGCTGTTACACTTTCAAAGAGCATTACTGATCTTTTTATAGTTTGCTGCAGTTGACATCACAGCTAAATAGAGTCTCACTCTAAAATATAATTCACCCAGCCTATGCAGCCTTAAAGCCATGCATCGCTGGGAGGAGAAGGGTCACAGGAAGTGGTGCAATGCCAGAAAGGCAGTAAAAGCATGGGGATATGGCTGCTTCTTTTCCCTGCATGCATTACAAAAGGCTTCCCCAGGAAGGCCAACCACCTCTGGAAAACAGCAAGAGAGCATAACCTCTAAAATTACAGTTGCTGCTTTTATATTGGTGTCACTGTGATGCTGCTAGAAGTGGGTAAAAGCAACTGTGCAATACAATTCATCGGTGAGAAGTATCCCACAGCAGACCTCCCTCACGAGCCTGAGTGCATGAGCTTTCAGAGCTTTCAGGAGCGTGCTTTCCACCAGCAGGCTACTCACTAGTAAGAAAATAATGAAGCTGGGCTTAGGGGAGACCCAGACAAAACTCAAGGGCAATGGAAATAATGTCACAGTGGTGGCTGAAACTCAGCCAAATAATTTTAGCACAGCAGATTCACCAGTGCCCATTGTGTGAGGTTTGGCCGCCAGAAGTCCTAAATCCATTCCATGCGTGCACGTGTCTGAAGCTTAATATATAGTTGTGATGCCTTGACAGTTGGCACTTGATAGTTGGACTTGATGATTTTATAATCACTGAGGTTGGAAAAGATTTCTACCTTATTGTACATACTCCATATGAACGGGTTGGGTTTCTGAAGTAGCTTTCATGGTTTGACACATACTGCACCTCTCCTTGGGTTCTGTGACCAAAGAATGTTTGGTTTCCATCTGTTTTCTTCTGAGATTTCTCTCATGGGAAACATATCCCCCTGAACTGCCCTGTTTCATCCTGTAGGGATTTGCCATCGCAACAAGAAGTTACCTTCACCAGGAAAGGCTGCAAAACCGAGGAGACAGTGCATCATCACAGTCTGAAAACCCTTCCTTGGCACTGGTTATATGGCATGCCAAAAACGTCCTGGGTAAGTTATGAGTACAGCATCTTTCACAGTCCATCACTGTTTACTGTCTGAGGGGTGTTTACTGTCTGAGGGGTTTCTCTTAAGAGAAAGCTGCATGCACACAAGCCTTCTCTGTGCTGGGAAACTCATTGTCACCTTCACCAAGTGAACTAGCACATATTCAGCACATATTCACTGGCCAAGAATGATCAGCACTGCCTTCTTCCTTCCAAAAAAGGTCAAGTGAATTTCTGCCTAAGGCATATGACACTGCAACAGAAAAGTCCACTGCAGCCTCACACCAATGTCATTGCTGCCCTGCTTATGCTGTGCTCCCACCTAGGGGAGCAGGAGGGGATCTGGCCCAATGTGTCACACCACCTCCTTGCCAAGGCATTCACTGCCTGCTCTCCTGGCCTGGCTTTATGTAGTGCAGGGCAGCTGAGAGTGCTGCCCTACAGTGACCCCACGATGCCAACAGCACTGCCTTCCAGGCATGCCTTCACCATGCTTCACAGGAGGCATTCTCCTTTTCCTTTACAAAACAAGGAGAAAGGACAGTTCAACCGAGTAAAACTTCTCTCTTTATTTTCTCCCCTTTCAATTTCCCAGCTTTTTCCATCCTGGCAAGATCTGTAAGGAAGACAGCACTTTCAAAGTGCCAGAAAACCATTAATGCTGCCATGCTGTCACTGGCCAAGACACGTATGACATTTCAGACATCCAGGTGATGCTGTGACTAATGTGATATTGTGTTCAGTTTTGCAGTTTCCAGTCACTGTCATAAGGACTTTGTGTTCACATTTCAGGAATGGATGGCCAGGCCAAAGGGTGGTGATAGTCATGGAGGAACTCCAAACAGAAACACAGACAGTGCTGCTGCTGCACCCTTCGTTGATCAGTCAGCCCTGAAGAAAATTCTTATTACTCCCTTATGTCTTCTATTACCTCAAAGACGTAAGGGCAACTTCCCAGATGTGAAAAATATGACTGCAGAAGAAGACAAATGCTCTCTCCTAAGGATACAGGGCATGGATGCAGTTATCTCATTTTGAATAACAAACGCATTTGCTCTTTGGCCTGCTTGGATGGCATAGAGAAACTTCCAGGCAGTGGGGAAGAAAAGCTGTCAAAGAGAAAAGTCTTAAATCCCCTAATACTGATAAGACAAGCTTGGTAAAATGCAAAAGAGAGGGGAAAGAGTCTACAAGACTAGAAGATAACGGAGAAAGAGATAAAGCTACCAATAAAAAGAGGAAGACCTCTTGACAACAAAGGAGAGGGTCAGACTAAAGAAGTGACAACAGCACACCCTTGACAAACAGGGCCAAAGTCAAATTTGCAAAAATGCCTGGGGCACTGGGCAGGACGAGGGCAGGAACAGGGCCTAGGAGGAGGCAATCTGTTTGCAGTGAGGAGCAAGGCAGTCTTTAGGGTTGTACTGGGCTGCTGACATGGGGCAGAAGAGCAGCTGGAGAGGATAAAAGAGATACTTTCCTATGCAAGCACATGGAGCTTCAGCGTCAGATGCCAGAAAATCATGCCTATAATCATGCTTATAAAAATCAGGATAACTCACAGAAATAATGCCCACTGAGTTTGTTACATAGAATTATCTTTCTTTTGCTTTTCTTCAGTGCAATTTTAAATAGCAAGGTAATATGAGTCAATTAATGCATGGAAGAGAATTACCTCATCAAATGACATAGTAACTGCTGCACACCCCAGCTCTGAACATCAGAAATTGCTGATTTAATTAATCATCAGCCACAAATCCTCAGCTCGGGTGGAACTTCCCTTACTCCACCTACATCTTAAAACCAAAAAACTTCCCAGCTGTACAGGGGCCTGAAATAAAACACCCCAGAAAGGAAAAAATGCCAAAGAAAAGCAAAACTACTTTTTTGCAAGTGCCAAAAAAAGAGACCAACAGTTACTTGTCTCTAAAACCAACCAGAAAAGAAGAACAGAAACATGTAGACTAAATGATAAGAACAAAACCTGAGCATCAACCTTGGCATGCAGCAAGTACACGCACTCCAGCAGCAGAAGGGAAGAACAGGGCTGAAGAAATTTGCAGTTAATACCATGCAGAAAAGAAAGATTTGTGTGTGTAACAGAACAGAGCAGCCAAGGGAAAGATGGTGGCTCTGTGTCAACCTTGTAATGGGCATCCAACCTTACCAGGAGAGTGCTGGTGCTTCCCATTGCTTTCTGATGTGAACGATCAGAAGAAAGTTTGCTTCGTATTTGGGTTCTTCTCTTCATAACCACAAGACATTAGCTTTAAAACAACAACAACAAGATGAAATTGAGATTCTCATAAAATCTATTGATTTCAGAAGTTGAAGGCACTAAGACAGATACCAAACACTGCAAGACAAAACCAGAAAATCTCGTGATTGCCATTTGTTAAGCTGGGATAGATAGAAGAAAGACTTCATCACATGTGGAATGAGGAGGGCTTAGGAGCCTGCCAAACAGTGGTAGAAAACAATGCCTTAACACTGCTTGCTAAGACCAGGAAATCTAAAAGCAGTAGATAGTGGACTCTTCAGAGCCTGTTAATTATTCAATGCTGTTAAAGAAGATGTAGCCCCTGTGCTACATATCACCCTGCCATTTCCTGCCAGCCTTGCTGGGTTTGCACATTCTGACTGCACCCTGCAGAGTGGCTCCAGGTAAAGAGCTGAGTTGCAGCACAAGGAGAAAAACAGGGCTCTGTTTTTTTAACTTAACACTCCCCTTCTCATCTTCCTTTCTTCTTGTTATTCATCTGCAGAGACAGAGATTCTCCTTTGTTTGTGCTGTGAATTAACTAAAGGTCACTGGAAGTTCAGGCAACATAATTTTATATGTACAAATGGACACATCAACAATTGTTAAAAAAAAATCCTTCTTTAAAGGAAAATACCTGTAAGAACAGAGCATGACTGTTCTACAGACCTCATTCAGAGGATGTGAATGAGCAGGCAACAGGAAGAAGTCAGTTAAATACACGCTATAAGTTCTTCCACAGCATCACACTGTAAAACCAGAGAGGGCACAGAGAAAACAAGCATCAACAGGACTTGCTTCAGCCTAAGGTTTGCTGCTAAAAAAAATCTTTGAGTCTGCTCTCTCACTTCTGAAGCACCGTGATTGATTGCCAGGTGTGATTGATTGCCAGGTGTGTGCATCTGGCCGTTCTCAGGACATCTCCAAACTCAAGGACAGGCTCAGGTTTCACAGTGTTTTAATTCACGCCTAAATACCCAGGTGCCTTCCAACCAGGCTGCGTGCCTCCAGGTGGCATGCTCCCTTCTGCCTTCTCCTTTTCACATTCCTGACACTATCTCTGCCGTTTGCTTTTATCTCCTTCCCTCTCCCAAATCCTCTACCTTCCTCACTCGTAAGGTAGGGAGCCAGCTGCCAGCAGTCAGACATACTCTGCTTTTGCCCCTTTGCTGTGTATGAAGCCGGACATCTCACCCCAAATCTGTTCCTGTTGGGATTTAACACACGCAGACCCTTGATCCTTTCATATGTATTTGCGAGGTCTTTGTGCCTTTCCTACCGCTTTCTTCCAGGCCTGCTGTATGTCTGCAGCTCTTATCGACTCCCCGGGACAGAATACACGAATGCACCATGAGGTCCTGAAGCCACGTCTCACACCTTATAGGAAATGGTTCACCCAACCAGGTCACACCTCCCTCCCCAACACAGGGAGTGAGTCACAGGGTGCTACCGGTGCCTGGATGTTGAAAGCTGAAAGGCAGCATTCCAATTCTCAAATAAAACCACATGTATACATAGATGTGATTAATAATAGCAAAGCATGATAGAATCATCCTTCAAAAAAGTCAAATCCCATTTATTTTAACCCCAAAAATGTGGTATGCAGCCACTGAGCAGGACTGGACCTTTACCTGGTGACCTGAAATCCTTACGGCACTGCACAGCTGTATGAACACATCCTACACAGGTCTGGTATCAACGGGGTCTGACTGCTCTGGAACATGTTTAGAGCAGAGGATGATGTGTGAGGATGATGTGTGGAGTCCCACAGTGACCAGAAGACCTCAGCTTTCAGAGCCACAGCTGAAGACCCATGACTGAGGTCTCAGTGGTCTCAGGAATACAGTTCTACACATCTGCAAACAGTCTCAGAGTGAGGACAAGGTGCAGCTCAATCCGTCGAGCTCTTCCTCTTTGAAGCCTGAGAGCTGGCAACACCAACACTGCCAAAGGACAGCTGTAAATGATCAACATGAGACCATGGTGAGATCAACTTAATGGCACAGATGTGTCTAAAAATACATAGATGTTGGTAAGTATGCATTAGGAAAACCTGAAAAACCTCTAAAAGCTTTTGGAGGTTGTAAGGAGCTTTGTCAGAGGAGTTACTAGGAGCAATTAGAGAGAAACTAAGCATTCATTCTAAAGATTTCCTCTTAGGCAGAAAGGAAAAGCCATCAAAACCTGAGCCTGGTTTACATTAATGGCTGTTGGTATCGGCGTCTGATGGGGAAGCTGGAAATTACATGACATTGTCATGCCAAAAGAAACTCTGGAGCAAACACACACACCCATAAAAATGTCTCTGGTCTACAACTAATTTCCTTTTTTTAAAAAAAAAAACAAAAAAACAAACAAACAAAAAAAACAACTAATATCAGTTATACAGGCACTGCTGCTGCTGCTGCTTCTTCAGAATTTTAATTAAATTTTAGCTTTTACAGCAAAAATGTGTTTTCATTTTTTTCTTAACATTTCTCTAAGGAGATGAAACTGGGTGCATGACCATTGCTACTTCTTATGTCAGGCTTCTCTCATCATCTTCTGAACCTGCTAGCTACCTTCCATTAAAGATAACACATACATTGGGATCTCCAAGACATCAAGATTTGTGAAAACACTCAAGTAGATGAGAGACCTAAATTTGTGCTCTTAAAAAGTTCAACATTGTTTTTGGAAATGAGAACATTCCCATTAAGATCATCCCCCTCCCGTATCATACACTTGGTAGAACAAAAAATGATCACACCAGAGTGCCCTGCCTGCAGAATCCCAGCACAAAGCAAATGAAGGAGTAAAAAGCAAGAGAGGTTCACACACAGGACATGTATCCTAGCGATTGACAAACCACTGCATGGCAATGCCTCATCCCCTCCAGGCAGAGCAGCAACACTGCTACAAGCACTAGGTATCCCAAGGAGAGCATTTAAGATATGACCAAATGCCATGCTGCTGCTTATATCTGCAGGCATTCCAGGACTCTACCCAAAACTCAGCTCCAACAATCAGTAAGGAGAGATGTCAGTGCACATGGTTAAAGTTGATTCTATGACCCACAGCAATTGGAGAGAGTCCAAGCAGCCTGGAAGTGGAGCAGGCCAGCAAATACAGGGCCACCTCTTCCAGCCTCTTCAAAGCTGCAGCATTTCAGAGCCCTCCTTACCGTGCTAGGTGCCTGCTGATGGCAGCAGTGACATGGCAGCATGCTCTTCACCTGCTTTTGTTGCTGCATTCCATATTTAGAAATGGCTATCTCAATTTCAGATGTGTTAATTCAAAAAAGCCATTCACTTCTGGACTGATGGTAGATTCTGCTTTTCAAGGCGAGAGGTAGGATCCTTCTTTGTGCCCAGCCAGGATAGAAGTAATGACAGGGTGCAGAACTAGAGAGGGAAAGAGTCTCAATATCCTCCTCAGGACTTCGAATTCCTAGCCAGCACAGCACGGGGCAGATGCAGGCACCACGTGATGCTCACCGGTACTGGGGTGAAGCTCTGTGGGAGCTGGTGGGAGGTTGCTGGCCTTATGGGGAGAGATGGTGGGAGAAAGCCTACATTACTGAAAGTACCTGATCATCATGTGTGCGTGCGAAAGCATGAAGGTACAAACGCCTTATGAATAAAAGCTCTTCTCAGAGCTGATGCTCAGCACACCGTCCCTTCAGAGGGAGCAGCATCTAACACAGTTTGCTGTGGACAAACTGTACATCTCACGTTCCGATGGTGGCCGTGCTGCAGCCAGGCATGGCTCCTCGCATGCACAGGGGTGGGAAGGGTGGTGGCAAGGCTCGGCTCTGCCCGCTGCAAGCTGAACTCTGGGGCTCTGCAGGTGCGTTCACCTGCAGCTCGCACAGCTGACAGCACGCACCTCGCTTGCAGGATGCAAACCCCACAGCAGCACCGCCCAGACTCGGTACCACACACGACCCAGCGGTGCGACACCAACCCCGCGGCACCGAGGGAGCTGCGGTCCCGGCTCCGCGCCGGACCCCCCGAGCCGGGGCCGCCTCCCTTCGGCACCCCCGCCCCCGCCGGTCCCCTCCCGGCTATAAAGCCCTGCGGGCGTCCGGACCCCTCCTGGCCCGCCGCCATGGCCGCGCTGCGCTTCGGGCCGCCCCCGGCGGAGCTGCCCGCGGTGCCGCCCTCCTGCCCGCCGGGCCGGTGGCTGTGCGGGACGGTCGGGGGCAGCGGGGGAGGGCCCGGGGCGGCCCCGGCGCCCCTCGCGGCGGCGGCGGCGGCGGCGGCGGCGGAGGGAGCTCCATCGGCGCAACGTCGGAAACGGACGAGCTTCACGGCGGCGCAGCTGGAGACGCTGGAGCTGGTGTTCCAGGACACCATGTACCCCGACATCTACCTGCGGGAGCGGCTGGCCGACGCCACGCAGATCCCTGAGTCTCGCATCCAGGTGAGGGGCGGCGGGTGCCCGCCCTCCTCGCCGCCCGCCCTCGCCGCGCCCTCACGGCCGCCCTCTCTCCCCAGGTCTGGTTCCAGAACCGCCGCGCCAAGTCTCGCCGGCAGCGGGGGCCGCCCCGGCCGGGTCCCCCCGCCCCGCCGCCCCAGCGCCCCCCGTGCGGCGCGGCCCCAATGCTCCGCGCCCAGGAGGAGCGCCGAGAGTGGCCGCCCCGCTCAGCCGGCCCGCCCGGCCCAGTGCCGCGCCCGCACGCGGGGAGCGGAGGCGCCCCGGCAGGGCCCTACCCGCCCCGCCCCGCGTTCCCCCTCCCGGCCGGCGGCGGCTTCTCGGAGCCGGGAATGGAGTGGGAGGAGAACGCCCTCGGCGCCTTCCGAGCCCTCTGACGGCCGCCCGGCCCTGCCCTGCCCGCGCCTCTTGCACTTTATCCCGGAGGGACTGCGCCTATTTATGACCGGGAGATGGGGGCGGCTGCGCCGGTTGCCGGCACCGTGTTACATTGTTTACAGCTTCTATTTCACCTTTTTAAGCCATCAAGCCGACCGAATGCACTGTTCTAGGGAGGATGGGGGTAGGGAGGGGACTGCTGTTACTTTTTGAGAGAGAAAAATAAATAAAAGTTCCCATTTCTGCTCTGCGCTGCTATGGAGCCGAGAGTTTTCGTGATGCAGACAGGGACGGGCTGCTGACCTCGGAGGGGCCATAGCCCCTGAGAGCCACGGGTGCAGCGAGGGGAACTAGAGAGCACTAAACCAGCAGCCTTTTCCCACAGGACAGTGGGACAGTGTGAAGTTAGCACATAAGAAATATTAAAAAAAAAAAAAAGCCCCTCAAAGGGGGGCATTTTTTAAAGACCATATTAGTGTATGCATATCTTAAGGCAGCTCTTCCTGCTTATAAGCAAAGCAAGCTGTCAGACTCCAGATAATAGAATCAGAAGACCAGTAATATCATCCAGTCCAACTGTCAGCCTATCCTCACCGTGCCTGCTAAGCCATGTTCCTTAGTACCACATCAGCCCAGCTCTTGAACACTTCCAGGGACAGTGCCTCCACCCGGACAACTAGTGCCAATGCATCACCACTCTTTCTGAGAACAAATGTTTCCTAATATCCAAAACTTCAACCTCCCCATGTGCAACTTAAGGCCGTGACCTCTTGTCCTATCACTGTTACCTCGGAGAAGAGGCCACTGGCCTTCTTGGCCACCTGGGCACACTGGCCAGCTGCCAGCTAACAACCCCAGATCCTTTTCCTCCATGTCTTTCCTGCCACTCTGCCCCAAGCCTGTACCAATACATGGGGTTTTTGTAACTGAAATGCAGGACCCAACCCTCGGTCTTGTTGCAGCTCATACAATTGCTCTCAGCTCATTGATCCAACCTGCCCAGATCCCCCTGCAGGACCTTCCCACCCTCAGGCAGATTGGCACTTCCTCGCAACTTGGTGTCATCTGCAAACTTTGCAAGGGTGCACTCAATCCCCTCATCCAGATCAGTAAACATATTAAGTAGGGCTGCCCCAGTACTGACCTGATGAACACCAGTCAGGAGACAACTCCTGAACATCACAAGGCTCTTTTGGAGACAAAAACAGAAGCAAGGGGTGTGTGTACTGTCGGGGAAAATAACCTGTGTTGGGAATCACACCCTATAAGACAAGGTAACCAATACCCCAAATCTTTTGGTGTAACACACCACATACCTGTGCTTGCTGGATCTGAGACAGCCAAATTCCTGTAGAGCTTGCAATGCTGAGTGGTGCAACAGGAACGCTGACTGAGGAACTCTCTCCACAAACAAAATAACAGAGCTGTCCTTGGCCAAACTGTAGAGCAAACACATAAAAATGAAAATCTGACACCATCCATCCCAAGTGGACTTGGGTACCCAAGGAGCTGTCGGGGATGGAATACTCACAGTATTCACATGTGTGCTCAGCTTCCAAGTATATAACAGTGGCTTGCACACTGAGCCTGCAAGCTGATGATGGGAACGGCAGCCCCTGCTGCTCCTTTTCCATTGCACTCTGCAGTGACTGAATTCATTGAGCTATGTGAGGAGCAAACAAGGAGACAAAGATGAGCTGTTTCTCATCAGCACATCTCCCTGCACTGTGCACCAGGTGTTCAGTGAGCACCCAGAAAGAAGGGGAGGGGTGGAAGTAAACTGCAAGAGGATGTTTTCCCTTCATGCCAGCAGTGGATCACATTAGTTACTGTCAGATCGAACCTTTGTGCCCTAAGTGAGGCTCTGGCATTTCTCTCTGTTTAAATGAAAACTGCAAGTGTGGGGAACCTTTCCATCTACTTTACCAAACAACACAAAATAAAGGCACTGGAAGGGCCACAGCCATGTTCTATTACATGATGAGCGGAGCAGCCCTGTAGCTAACTGGAGCAGAAGTAGTGTCTGGTGTTTTGTAACACTCCTTGTACATTTTCTAGATACTTCAAAACAGCCACTCACCTTGTTACCCAGCCATCACGTTTCGTTTTCAGCAATTAACTTCTTTTAAAAAGATGACTTGAAACCACGTGCCAGAAGTTTGCATTTTTGTGAAATATATCAACTCTTATAGTTCAATTTATTCAGTTACAAATTTCACCGAGAATAAAAGATTTATGCATTTCTCTTAATTAACAGAACAAGTTTAGCTAAATATAAACTCTGCACTAAAGTTTTGCAGTGGCACAATACCAACACAGAATACAGAAGCATCTTTAAACTATACAAAATTTTAAAATTGAAAATAATCCTGTTTACATATTCTTTATACATTAACATATAAAAGACCTCATTTAATGAGGCATCTAAAGGAATCCAAAACAACTCTACAGCTATCTCTGAAAATCCATATCTGGAAATGATTCATTACACAGAAGCTTTACAAGACTATTTAAACAAACCAATACACACTTTTTACAAGGTTAACATTCCAAAAATGTACTCATAGGCAGGTTGTCACTTTTAATTTTTGCAGTTTACCTCACTGGTTATATTTTATTATAAAAACCTTTGTATTTATATATGTAGGGTATGTCAGATAACCAGGAATTTAATTTAAAAGTTGTGCAAAACAAACCAAAAGTTGGAAAAACAGTATGTTTTATCACTCATTTATATAAAATACCAACTAAAACACTTCTTCTTGCCCCACATAGAGGGAAAAAGCTGTAACGACTCTGTTTCTGGAAAGGTATCACTTCCATTTTTATATTCCTTCATTAGACTTCTTATATAAGTTATGATAAATTAAATGTTCCAACGAAACACTGGCTGATCTACAGACCTGCCCAACATCTTCTGCAACTTTAGTTCTCTGTCCACATCCCACCGCTGCTTCTTTAGACCTGGAACCCTCAGCCCATGTTATTACCATGCTAGCTGGTGGCATCTCAGGTACCTACAGAAGTGCAGCTTGAAGGAACAAAGACTGCCACATAGTTACTGATGTGAGCCATTTCCTCTTCATCACTTCATCTAACGTACCAGGAGAGCCAACAACAAGAGGTGGGCAGAATTAATCTGAACTTTTAAAAACTAAGTTCAAATTATATGAAAGTATGTTTTTATGTTTATAATAAATGCCATTACTAAGAGATTACCAGTTAGCAAAACTACCGCATGTGAATAACAAATGGAGAAATTTAATGTAATGCTTGCCAGTAATGCTGGTTTCCTTAAGAAGCAAATATAATATATTTTAAAGGGTCCGAGAGGTTTTCTTTTCCCTTATCTTCTGGCAGTTAGGGCATTTGTTGAAGCATATATAAATGAAGAGGATTTTCCAGAACTACTTGCTATACACTTGAAAGTTTTCAGTCTCTGTTGGTGTTATTAGCTGCAAAGGCATGTAAATTTCCCATCTGGCTCAGACCACTCTGAATATGTGCAACATGGATCTCAACATTATTCTGAAAACAACTACAAGGGAGAGAGGAAAGAAAGAAAAGGATTAAACCTCTTACTTAAGGGTTGCATATGAGTACTTCTACAAGGTCAAATAAATCATAGTAGTGCATTCATATCAGTTATCAGGTTGCATCAGTAAATAGCATTTACAAAAACAGTTGCATGAAGTCAAAATTACTGACTTGGGTTCTTTAAAGACCAACTGTAAAGAACCACTGTAAAGTGGTTGGAGCTAATGAAAGAAAAACATTGTGAAGAGATGCTAAAGTACCCAGACTGAGTACAGTGAAATGCAAAGATCATCACCTTCTTAGCAGTGTTTATCAGCCCTTGGTTGAATCCATTCCCACATTTACTTGCAACATTGATGACAGGAAGTTTCTTTTTTCTTTTTTTTTTTTCTTTTTTTTTTTTTTTCTTTTTTTTTTAAAATCAAAATGGAAAAGTGCTACAAAAAAACCATTTCTCAATCCTTCAAAAAATCAATAAAATCAAAAAGCTGCCTTACTATCTTGGCAAAAAAACAAAACAAAACCAAACAAAACCAAACATGCACATAGCAATACCAGTGTGGAGGGCATAAGAAAATGCTTAGCATTTCAGTATTTTTTTTTTTTTTAATTATGTAATTTAGTGACTATGCAAATCTTTAAAAAAATCATGGTCACAAACTGTTAGAGTTCACAGTATACTCAGGAAGAATATCATCATGTTCTTGCTATTTTTATAATGCCTCCTCAGGCACCTGCTTGTGACAACTGCTGAAAAATGGACACTGGACTAGAGGAGCCTTTGATCTGGCACAATATGGCTGTTCTTTTGTGGTTGGTTTGTTTGTGGGGTTGTTTTGTTTTGTTTTTTTTTTCCATTTAAAGTATTGTTAATAGAAGCCAGGCAGAAACTCTAATTGTCTCAGTTACTAATGTCTGATATTTACAGACAAAAGATTGAGTAACACTAAAAAAAAGAATACGGAAATTGTACAGAAAATACTCTAAAGTAACAGTTGTCAATGAATTTCTTGCTCCTCAGTCATTTTAGTTGTTGCTGTATCAATTTATCACTTTTTTTAATTTTTTTTTTTTTTTTAAATCAGGTTACTTCACTGGTAGGTTCAAACAGAAAACTGCTAATTCTGTACTACTTTAAGAAGATCCCTTTAAATGGGACCACTTCCATAAACAGTTACCAAATTAAAATCCTTACTTATACTTACTTACATTCACCTCTAAAAGACATTAACAATTGCTTGCTGACACAAAATGTGTAATTAGGAATTAAATACTCAAAGTAGTGGTACCTGATATTTGAGGAGTCTATTGAATTCTTAATGTCATTTAATGAATCTGTTAGTGATTTAAATTCAAAGGAATTCAGGTCACCTCCTTCTGCTAGACACTGCAGGAGAAGAAAACAAAAAATGTTCTAACAGTTCAGCACAAAGAACCTGTCAGAGGCTTAATATTATGTACTTAATTGGGAGATACTATTTTTGCAATTATTTTACCTTAATCTGCAGTAATATTGCTGTAAGTCTAGAGATAAGGTCAGTTAAATTTTCACTTTCGACACAAAGCTGTCCTGTTGTGGAGGAATTTGCTTGCCTAACAATTTCCTGAGCCTCCTCTTCACACCTCCGCCTCAGATCTGTTGGCTGGTCTGCGGGCTGGAGGCCTTGGTCTGGAGCAAGCTGCACAGACAGAAAGAAAGATCAATGAAGATTAAATAGCTCCTTTGCATTTGGTGCATGTATGAACTGAGAAACGATTGCCAAAAAGTCCACAGGTATATAGCCTGCTTTGTTTTTTTCTTCATTTATATACATGCATGCCTATTCCAAAACTGGCCACTGGCATCATCAGAAGTGCCTGCATTCAGGTAAGAGAAACAGAGAGAAATACAGACAACAAAACAAACACAGCTGCTAGCAATTTCAGTTCCACATGAGCCCTGCTAACGCACTATTCCCAGAAAATTCTGATTTATTTTATAACTCAGGTTAAGCAGAAACAAATGCAGGTTCCAGCAAAATCTTACCTCATAACAATACTGCTGAACTTTATGCAACACTTTATTTAAGTCTTTGTTTAGTTGTTCTAGATCTAGAACAATAGTTGCATATCTCCTCTGAAACTCAATGCTTATTGGCATAGAATAGGATTTCTGTGGAAAAGACAAAGCATGTTAAAGTTAATGCAATATAAGTGGAACTCATCCAAAGGAATTTTCACTTTCAAATAATATTGGGGTATTTGAAATCCCAGTGCCCAATAGAAATGTTAACATGAAAAAACTTAAAGCCTAGTATCACTGCTTAGAACTCCAAGTGACAATTGGTGCAGTAACTACCATGCTTTTATTCTCTTCAGAAAGCACTATGATAATCTGTGGCACTAAACACTACAGATGACAACTACAGTCTGACCTGCTTATTTCACCCATAGGGGGGCATGACTTCTTTGTACAGTATGAACAGAAGATTATTCTGTCAGTAGAAGAACAGTACAGGACAACATGTCCAGCAGCTCCAGAACATAAGACTCCAGACACTGACAAACAGTTCAGCTCGCAGACAAAAGATGGTTGGCTTTTAGTAGATGGAAACAGATAGCATCTCTGTCACAGGGCATCTATGCTTATCTTGAATGACCAGCATCACCTTTACCTCATCTCTGTTGCAGGTCAAGTGAAAAAAAAAGAACCAGCTATCCTTCTTGTTTGCATTTGTTTATGCAACAATGTTTAGTCATCAGAAAAGTGGATACTGTTCTGTGTACATGGCAACTAAAAAGAGTACGGTGATGTTAAGATGCTTCATTGTTAGGAAGCAGTCCTTTCCCTGCTTCGTGTGTATTTGAATTTATTACTATTGTCAGATAAAAATGGGCTATAACCAATATCTCTTCTGATTTTGGTCAGTTCTTTTCACTTTTATGCTGGATCATTAAAAAAAAAAAAAAAAAAAAAAA